GTGAGATATCGCGTACCATACGAAAGTGTCTAACGGACAAACAAATACTTATCAACATACTTACAGATCAAGATCGATAAGTAATTACCGATCACGATCGATAAGTGATGACTTTGAGCCAAAAGCACAATGCGTAATGCTCCTATCAAGCCTCGACTTGATCAGATAATATGCAAACTCAAGTTTCGCATTAATAGTAGGGCTGGGCATTTTCGAATACCTGAATCTCGAATATTTGGGATATATATAATTGTATGTACCTTCCTTCTTGTATTTGGTCCTCCAGACACATAAATTACTAGAAACGTAAAATACATCACTCCGACAGATTGCTGAGAGTTCACACACAATAAAAAATACGTTTTCATCAATAACTCACTACAGAAAAAAGTCATATGTCAGAATTGCGTTGAAAAAATATGACTTCCATAAAAAAATTGAGAAATGTACCTCGACAATTGGCGGAAAGGAAAAAAAACAAGATGGCGGCGATTCGAAATTTCGCTCTGAACCGATTCGAATAATTTACTATTCGATTCGATTCGAATATTCGTTTCGAAATGCCCAGCCCTAATTAATAGTAAATTGCTTGAGGATACATTGTTTCGTTTCTTATGTATCAACATCTCATTGTGGGTCGCACAAAAAAAATGGTTGGGAAGCACTGATTTAAGGGCACTCCCGAAGTATGTGAACCAAGATGGCGGACACCGGATCGTTAGTGTGTGTACCAGGTTAGGGTTAGGCCATAATTTCAAGTACAAGTACTACGGAAGTCACTTGGCTAGTCCCCGAAGTCGTAATAAAACTAAAATGAGGAAAATTGGAATAAAATTATGGCCTAACCCTAGCCTGGTACACATACTACGTTCCTATGTCCGCTATCATGGTTCACATACTTCGGGAGTACCGATTTAAGTGATATGCATGCACATCCAATGTCTTAGAACGATATCCAAATCAATATAAAACCAATTCAATATATGTATATACTTGGACAATTCAAGTAATGGCTTATGCATGTATGGTCAACTCAATATATATTTTTCGACATTTAAGTGATATATATACATACAAACCATAGGCATATACAGCCAACTTAATATATATATATATATATAAATAACAAAGATAGTTCACAAATTTATTTCGATTATTTTTTTCCAGATTACTATCAATGGCCTAACAGCAGTTTGAATTAGGGATTTTAATGTCGTTGTTGTCAATTTGCTACACAGTGTAATTAAAATTAGGTGTTTTACTATGAGCATTTTAAAATTTGCTCACTTTTCTTTCCGCGAGATGAGGTAGTTGTACATACCTTTTTGATCGAAATCTCCATTTTGAATTTTATTCACCCCTGGCCGCAGGTATTTTAAAATACATAGACAAGGGCCCAACCAGCAACCACACAAACAAAGGGAGGGGTTTGATGTTTTCTGAATCTAATAAACACTCACCTGACAAACATCGTCTTATTTTGCATACCATCGACAAACATCGATTGAAATTTTCTGACATTGTGGTAGTCATTCAATCTTTTTTTCCATATATATATTTTAAGCATTGCTCTCTTGTTATGAATCCATCAGTGACAATGCAAGAATATGTTTTTTCAAACTTGTTCAAGAATATTTTCATTGCGTTAATTTCAAACTTTTCACTTTTCCTATAGGCTATAGCTATTAGGAATTCATGCTTATTCGAAAACATTTTCGTTTTTCGTCGATTTAGTATATAAACGATAAGTTACAGAAGACTCAAAAACGCTTTTTGTTCATGGACACAAATACATTTTGGCTAGAGCCAAGTACCGGCTGTTGTGAGTCCCCGATGATGATATGCGGATTTGATTTTCGATTCGATCTTCTCCTTGAAAAATCCTAATACATTTGCCCGAATTAGTCGGCTATGTCAATCTAGTCGTGTTTGGGGGGAATTAGAGGATGTCGCGATTAAAAAACCAAAACAACACATAGCTTGATATTCGGTTTCACTCATTGAACTCCAAACAAAATTCAATTAAAGTAGGTTTCAAACATTGTTTTTTTCATATGCATGACAGGTGATCAGGGTATGCATGTATTTATCATACGAAACGTGAATAAAACGTTTCAAGATTATACGCAATCTATTATGCATGTGTCGCATAGCTGCAAAAATCGATGTCAATTAATTTTTGGTTGATCTATTTGGTGATCGTCGGATAGAACGTAATTCGTTACAAATCGTATGAACATAATTCCCATTTGGTTTTAAGGCTATTTTTGAGCTGACTGGCAAATTTCCAAAGAGTTGTATATGTGCAAGTTATTGGTGCTTCTTTAAAGCATACCAGAATAGAAAACGAACAATAGCTGGGTTCAATATAAAACACAGTTTTGGAAATTGCAACGCTAACCAAAGGAGCGAATGAGTCGGATAGATTGGCGCTCATATCTGAATTAAACCGTTTAGGCTTATATTATGCAGGGATGTAGGGGTTCGCATGATAGTCATCATAACTTAAACACGTATTTGTTAATTTCGTGTCACACATTGCGTACGTGAGAAAGTTTTCTAGCCAGAATCTAGAAGATATTGCCTGCTGTTCGCTTTCGAATTTGATGCAATAAGCTCAGAACAGAAACAACGACAGTAGCCGAAATATTTTATGCAAAGGCAAGCTAGAGGATTGTGAAGGCGATGGAGGCAATCGGGGAAAGATAAATAATCAATATATAACCCGTAATTAGACAAGTAGGACTGATTTGCAGATCCATGAAAACAATTACTTCATTGCATATCATATTCAATTAGGAAATCAGCATTTAGTTTCATAACAGTAAAAATATTTATTTAATTGGATCATTCCGACCGGCCTACCTTCAGCATGTTTGACAACTTCTGAAGTATCTTAATCAACGCAAGAATGTGCAAAATAGGTCCAATCAAAAAAACTAATAAAAAGAAAAAACTTGCTAAATATATTTCAACTGCTTGTTAAATATATTTTAACAATTTGTCAAACAATCTATATTGGAAATAATTTAGTTCATTTAATTTTCCCGTTTCAGCCTTACTTCAAATTATCAAACATTGTAGGTTTTCCTGACTGAGCATCAGTTGTCATGGTATGTACATGTTCATGTCTAACTAGTAGAAATAAATTAGGAGATCTAGCATAAAGTTAATTGTATAGTTTGGTGGTGCCCGAACTCTTTTATTGAATTCAGCACTTTGCCTGTATTGAGAATATTTGCCCCCCCCCCCTCCATTTGCATAAAAATGATTTTCTTGTTCAATCCTTAATGGAGAATAAGCTAGTATTATGCGTCAGTAGCACTCCCACTTTTTGAAAGTTTAAGTAGTTTCTGTGTTCATGGATTGGCATTATGGTAATATTATTAAAAAATATTAGTAGTTGTATTACAATAAATACAAGCAAAATTCCTCCCAAAGAATGACAAAAGTTCTCCCTGGAGAGTAAGTTCTCCCCGATAGGGAAACGTTGGTATATTGCAATTGACTGTAGTTTGTGATGACTGCTATGTTTTCATATTTGTGCGAGAAACTCAACAAAACAGAGAATCCATAAATTGTTGGATAAATTGATAATGCTTTATTGACTGTTTTATGCATCCTCTTTGAGATAGAAACGCATTTCATAGATAGGTCCAGAAAATGCAAATTGCACTATAAGGACAACGAAACCCACCTATTAACTTATTTGCTGGCTCAACTAAACGCTGACAGTGACATGTAATAACCGATTTAAAAATTTCGATGTTAGATCTTGCTTATTTCAAATACGATCTGACATGGTATGACCTTGCAATCGTAACTAGCAAATGAATAAATTATGAAGGCCCTTTCCGGTTGAATTCGAAATTACCCATGGCGTCTGAAATATCGCAAAAACTGCCTATTAAAATCGAGATAAGTCGTAGATTTGGCACAAAAACTTCAAATGACACACGTTCCGGACTGATTTGGATTTTTCAAAGGCTATAATCCAGTTATTTACTAAAGATCTGGTTTTTCATCTGTTATTTTCACTCCAAAATAAATGTCATCTCTGCTATCCAAAATCAAGTATAATCAGTCAGTCTCGCTCTGACCAAAGATATTCAAATAGATATGTTGACTGTTAGAAGATTTAGAAACAAAAACATTTGCATTTAATAGTTAAAATTCCTGAAGCGCCAAGGTATACACTCTATTTTGTCGACCATTTACAATAGATGCACCAGCGATGATGTACGTAGCCGAATTGGTTGAATGTAGCGCTTGAGATATCCCGTACATAACTCAATTTCAACTATGACTTGTCTTACTAAGTGATTTAATATAAAGATAGAGCCAAAGTGAGTTATAATCGTTAAACAGTATTTTCAAGAATACGCGCTAATTTTAAGGCAATGGATGCCCGACATGAAATATTAGATTTTAATCATTTCGTAGCTAATGTCAAATTTTAATCAAATAATTTGCCATTTATACAATTTTAGAAATGTGTTACTATCTTTAGGATGTAATTTGAGTGCTGCGAATGTCTGGCGGATGAATAGAAAAGATGACATATGAAATTTTAATCATTTTGAAAATTTTCATCCAATGATGCTGCGCATTTTAAAGATGGTCGTAGCGAGTTCGTTTTAGTAAGCATTGCTATTCATAAATTTTTTTTTTTGAATCGGGAAATAAAGTGTATACATAATTATTGAAAAATTTGCTTTGTAATGATGATCAAGCATTTGCCAGTATAAATTTATTATAAATGATAGAAAAAAAGAAGAAATAAGAAAGAAAGTATGTTTTATAATCTTGGATAAATTATCATCGATTCAATTATTGAATTTCATACTGCGTGAAGATATTAATTACTCGTATGCAGATATCTGGATTTTAGTAGCACAGTCCAGATGTTAAACAAACACGAACTCTTTATAACCCCGACTAAATTTATTGACTGCCCATGCTTGATTAATTATATTCATTTTATAAAAGTTAGTACGTGATCTCTATTAGATTCTCCCCCAATGTCATCGATAGTCCTTTTAATCTGACCGTACTTCTGAGACTTGGAAAACAACTAGCCAGATTGCTTAAAGCTTGAAGATCGATCGGCCCGAATTATACCTCAGTTTAAAGCAACTTTCTTCAATTCGACGTTTTGGAACTACTACCATCCTGGGCCGAGGAGAGTGGGAGTTACTGTCAGTCGTCATCTTCGTCGGTGCTATCAAGAGCGTTTTCCATCTACAAGTATTTTATGATGTTATTCATTTATTCAGGTGTGTATATATTTTATTTGCCGTCGTTGATGCATTACGGGCGGTAATGAAGCGTGCATCATATCCGAAAGCCTAAATTTTCTCAGGGTAAAAGATTAACATATTGTATACGGCACGAAGGCAGCAATTTTTGTGTAAAGAATAAATATTGGCGTTAAAATTGCTTCACAGCAATGGTAATGGAGGCGATAAGAATTAAATCAAATTGACCAGTGGTCATATTTGCTTCACCCCGTCCATCTTACGCTTGAATTCTGGAAAGAGCCACACACTTCATAACTACCGGTAGTTCAGTTTTGCTTCGTCTATAATAGGTTGTGTCTTTATTTCAGTAGTTATTATTGTAATTGCTGCACCTCGAAGATTAAACTTACTTGTAACTATCATCGCAAATTCAGCTGTGTGCTGATTACTCGTCAAATTTATAATATATAGGATTTTATTGTGAGCCTTGGTTAGAAGTATTAATAAGAAATAAATTTTGAAAATGTATAATAAAACAGAAACGCTTTATTCACTGCTATGAATACTGTCAAGTTGAATTACTCTAGTATCAGAAAATATTTCAATTTCGATATTTTTCAGATATTGTTCTTTATCTCTTGATATATATTGAGCTGTTTGGCGGCAATAAGGTTTGCACTTCTACATCGATCGAAACATCCCCCAATCACATATTTTTTTACGCTTCACAAGACTATGACAATGTTGACAGCTCTAGAACAAAACGTCAGCTTGGAAAGTCAGAAAGTTCAGCGAATAAGGAATGTGATTTTCAAAGTCTAGCATCAGCGACCCAAATCTGCGAAACACTTTTCTTTAACGAACTGAAAAGGAATAAAAAAATATTATGTTCGTAAGTATGTTTGATGTGCCTATTTTGGGAGGGAATATGAATCGCGGTTGCTATCAAACAATTGCTAAATAACCAGCTATTCTGTTCATTTATCTCAAATAGTGATCAGATCGACTCGTTAGCAAAAGTGTGTTCTGGGGTGGTGTGTCTTTGTCAACGTTTGTCGAATCCAGTTACAAAACAGTTGCATATACCCTTTTTCATAGAGCAAACTAAATGCAACTAAAATTCCGATTCTTGATATTTTTATATTGCTTATAGCATAAATTAGGCCAATTCAAATTTTTGTGGTAGCTTTCTTTACCGTAATGCAATTTCTATTCAAAACTAATGCACGCAATGTACATCATTGATTGTGGTCATAACTCCTTTCGTTTGTAAATATGAACTTTGAGCGACTGAAGCGAATTAAATATTTCTTTTCTTTTTGATTAGCTTTTTTAATTCAATTCCCCAGGGTTGAGCGGTGTCGTGCAGGTACGTAATATGGTGGGTTTCGGAATAACGGACTAAAATTGACGCATGGCCTCTTTAAATAAAGCTTACTGCTTTTATGTGCTTCGTCTAAACATCGAATGTTCCATCCTTCACTCATAATTCTCCCTCGCTGTAATCTGACTACAGAAAATAGAAATCCATTGAAAATGTACATTTCAACGTTTTCTCAACGTTACACGAAACCTCAAATAATCTATTGGTGAGAAACAATTTGAGATCTAGAGTAAATAAAAAGTCACCCGTCTTGGCTTTCAAATATTTTTCAGTATTACGAGTTTTTCAATAATGCATATATCATGATAATATTTCATTTGTTTCTGTTAACAGTGTTGTTCTGCTTCATATTTTTGCGAAATGTGTCTAGTCTAGATTAACAAAGCCTCGAATTGAAGTTTTTTTAAAAAAAACTGATTATTTTTAATGACAATATCCGTTAAATACGAATGTATTTATGTCTTAAAGATTATGTCATGTTATTAACACTATGTGGTTACTTTCATTCAAAACAGTTTTGTCGTGTTATAGTATTTAGTATAAAAAAAGACGAAAGCTTGTTTTCAAGGCCAAGCTGAAATTAAAAAAAATTTTCGCGTACATGAAAATCCAAAATGAACCTAATTGGGTTCATGCTTTACGTCCTTGTTATTAGATAGCAGAGTAAGTACTTGCATATTCAAATACATCCAAACACAAATTCCTCACCTAAAAGAACATGCTCGATGATTTTTAAGTATATATATGAAGCGTGTGAGGGCATTGGGACGTTGCAATTTTACTCACACTAAAGTGAAGTGAAGATAACGATATTGATTTCATGGTATTTACGCTCGAAAATAAAATACCAATATGCGTGATTCTGATCTGTGCTCTAGAGTAATAATTTTGTCGATTTTTAATTTCGTGTCTATATTCTTATCTTGAACAATATCAGTCAAGTCACATAAACCCCATGTTGGGAATGATATTTTCTTCATGATATTATTATGCATATAAAACAGTTTGCCACGAATTTGGTTCAGTAGTTCATTCAATTTTTCACCTACAATTGTACAACAATTGAAAGAATTATACTTGTAAATGCTGGTTGAGCGATTACTGAACTTAACATGAAAAATCAATTTGGTTTATATACTATTTATATGAAGGTCAAGACAAAGTGACTTATTGGCTTTGTTATTTTCAGGAAAGTTTACAAACAGCTTAGGCGATGTATACTCTCGAAATCGGAGGAATGCAGTTCCAGTAGTTCATCGAAGACCAGGATCAACAGATCTGTACAAAAATCCCTAGCTTACTACATGGAGGCAAAATATTGCAACGATGGGTCATTGTCAACTTCCAGGTATAAAAAATTCGAGTTGGAGCTTGACCACAGCGACTTAACGTGTTGTATTAAAATAAAACGTCAGTTACGCTTTTTATTTGCAGTGTAGCCCAACTATGTTTACAATTCGCTTGAGACTAGTTAATAATATCAATTCTTGCCCATGTGATTTTCCGTACATCGACGTCGCGGATCAATTTATGTAATCCCTAATGGCAATAACATTTTCTAAAAATGACATAGAGGTCAAAGAAAACTAATAACAAATCGCCCTATTGAAATTCTAGAATTTCCAGATGTCAATTAAAAGTGTGCAATAAAATATGAGTGGAAATCTCGATTTATGTACAAATATTAGTAACCAAAAAATGATTTCTGGCAAAAGTTAAAATCCTTCTAAATATTATAGAATTTCTGAATTTGTTTTACCAAAAGCACGAAAGTATTTTCCATAACTTCTTTCCAGCTATTCGTAAAATATATTGCTCTTGCAGAAAATGACAACATTCAAATATTAGAATGGCTGTCACATTATATTTGCCTCAATTGTTGATTGATTTATATAATCAAATTACATTATGCGTCGATCAATATTACTCCAATTGTCACGCCGCCTACTTTATGCATGTAATATTCATGGTTCAACATGAAACACCGGTCTAGTCTAATTCAAAAATGTTACGTGCATGTAAAGAGTCATGCGACAACGAATTACTTTTTATTGGGAATATTTCCACACCTTCTTTTAAGTTTTAACTTCGTAAACGAGTTAGAGAAAATATAATTAAATTCCATCATTTTACCCTCACAAGGTTTTCAGAATGCGAATGCGTCGATTGGGGGTGATTTTCGATATTTTTCATTGAAAATATTTTCAAAGCTAGTCTATTCAATTCCACTCAATTGTCGTAAAGAAACAGCAAACGATTTTTTAAGATTCGTTCCTATAGATCAGGGGTCACCAAACTACGACCCGTGGTGTTCTTTCATCCGGCCCGCGATAACACAAAAAATGGCGAAATTTTTCCAATGAATTTGGCCACGAGTCGAGGACGTTTATATTTCAGTTTCGTAACGCACATAGATAACTACTTGGAAATTATTTTAAAATGTTCCTCAGAAAATAAGTAACAAATAATACCTTGTTCCCATTCCCAAAAGCACGTTTTACGAAAAAGACCCTTCTACTACAAGAAATATGTGCTACCCAAAATCGGTCCCGAATTCTCTGCCATTTCGGCAACATTGGCGAATGAATGCAGACTTCTGCATGACGTAACAATTGAAATTTTATCAGCTGTAGGCGGGCGGATGAATCTAAGTATGTACTTCTCGCTGTTGCGTTGAGTTGGGTAGCCGTTCCATCGTCTATTTAAGTTATTAGGCCTACTACTTAAGTTATGCTAAGGAGGTGTTGAAAGGCATAAGTACGCTATTAAAGATTAGTAGATCCTTACCATAGTTCCCAAAAGTTACACAAGAGCACTAGCTGATATAACGTTGTTAAATATATACCGTGCGGTAACTTCAAGGAAGGCTAGACCTAATCGGTATTCTCGAGCTAAAATGATCGTCGAACGAATTTCACAAGTCACGTTGTACTGCTTACATGCAATTCTTTTGCAACCTCAGGATAGCTATATAGAAATCTTGTATACCGGAATATGTTTTGCTATGATGTTCTTGATCTATATTCTGCGATGTAGAATTTGAAATTCAAGACTTCAGGAATGTAGAATTCATATTGTTGAATGAATTGAATGGATTTCCCAACTTTTGGGAATTTATTGTATTGCAATGACAAAAATATTTGTCCGGCCCGTTTCAACAAAGTTTGAGTCATACCTAAATTTCATTGTTAGGAAAAACTCGTTAATGTTTTATTTCAGATACTTATTGAAATGTTTTCAAAAACTACACCTGGGTCGCGTTTCGTAGGGTATTATGCCAGAAAGGTGTGGATTTTTTAACTTATTGTATACAGTAGCAGCAAATTCGCAGTACTTCACCTGAATGTTCACATTAAATCAAGTTGTAATATTTCATTAGGAAATCCATAAATATACAATCAATAACATTCTTCAAAATATTCAGTCTAAAACTAGAAATATATTCAGATGCCTATACGTTGCATTTTCTATCGCATATTTTCTGCATAAATATCGAGTAACATAAAAAACGTTTTACGTAAAACGTGGCGAATCGAATCGATTTGATATAGAAAATGGACGCTTTCTCTATAAATGAAAAATTGAATACTGAACTCATATGATAGAAGAAAAGTTGTTTTATGTCGAACATCTCTTCTAAACATATCATCACACAATTTTATGTATAAAGTATGGAATTTAAAATGATATAGCATAAATATGGCAGTTAAATATTGGACCAGTAGCAATCCGCCCACTGCATAGTGGGGAATTGAATCGCTATGAGAATAACATGGAGGTATATATACTTGTTTCTGATGGTCTTTCCCATATTTTTGATTTAGTTCATTGATCTTTCTAGCAATTGAATGTAGCCGTAGTTATAAGGGGGTAATTTGAACTCTTCTAAAATATCGAATACAATAATTCGAAATAGGACAAGGAAAATAGGAAAAAAAAACTTATGTTCGGGCTGTCTTCGCATTTCACGCAATTATCCTCCCCATGTAGTCCTTTCAACTTTGTATTTCACGATTAAAGTCGTTTCTGATATTCCCTGTCAATTTGCAGGCGCCCAATCAACTACTGTCGTTTGGAATACAACGACAAAGTTAAGGACTGCTACAACGAATATCACAGAACTTTTCGAAGAAACCCCAATGACACAACCTTGTGTAGTTTATACGCCGAGTCTAAATCTTGCGCACTGAATGCAGAGAATGAAATGTGTTCTTTCAAACCCATACTAAAGCAGGTGCGAGAAATATCTGAAGGCATCAACAGGTAAACATCAATTATGTAACTTAATAAAGCCATCGAGTTTCAGGTTTAGCGAGTACACAATGGTTACTCTGGATTTCATGTTTTTACCTAATAATGCTGATAGCGAATGTTTGCGAGAAACAATTCGGGAACCCAATCGTTTCTTGTATGGCAAAATGCTGATTACGTTTTGTCCCCGTCTCCGCGCAAGGGTCGGAAATAGTGCTTTTATATGAATCACCTCATGCAATCGAGAAAAACTCCTTGATCGGAAGGTTTTTTTTCGTCTAAAGTTAGGTTTGGTACTTACAACAATTTGTAACCAGGAAACAATAGAAATAATAACTATCTTCCTTTCCTGCTGAAAGCGATATATATTAATTTATATGACGACATCTTGTTTTAGAATCGATTGCACATTTGTCACAACTTAACATTAAAAAGTCAGTTTGTCTGCAAAACGAGCAGAAACCCCGATTCAAGAACAGAAAATCGATTTTGAGCAGAAGCGGTTGTCATTGCTGTCTAATTCCGAGATATTTTAGACGTGACAGGCTTGGGTACTTATTACGCATTGTGTTCATAAATGCATTGATATTTCAATTTAATATTACAGGTGCTGGAATCCCTTTTGTTCGGTAGATACGTTTGGAAATAATAAAGTCAGTGCATCGGAGAAGGGTTTGAGCTTTTCATTTCTTTTGGGTATGATACGAGGGAAACTGCGGCTAATAAATCGAAGAGGTATTGATACAATGAAAGAATATAAGAACGCAAAAACAATAAAAAGCGGAGTTCCTAAGGATTGTAAATATAATCAGGCGGTCGTAATTTCCATTGCCCTGGACCAAATCACAGAAGAGTTTAACCCAGTCGCTAAAGACGATTCGAGTAGATATTTTTTAGTTGGATATCAAAATTCGACGACGACTTCTAAGCCACAGGCTTTAGCAAAAATAGCCGAAATTGCAAACAAAGAATCACAAGACGATGAGAATGGATGCAAAACCCGCATAACCTTATCTAACCTTTTAGTAATTATCTCCATTGTAATTTCATGTATTGTGTCATGAAACATATATTTACCACATATAGTCGCAGTTCAAGTTGGTAATTCCAAATTAATTAAGTTTTCGTAAATTTTGCCTCAATCGGTATCTACTACCTGGCTAGTACAAATTTTTGCATGTTCATGTAACCAACGAACATTTGAATGGAGTGTATTCCTCATAGAATTGTATACGTATTTCTCACCGAATGAATGCTTATTTAGCCCGATAATTGATACTATCGGACAGCGGTTCCCAAAGGGTGCGCCGCAGCGATTTGCTAAGTGCGCCGCAAAAATTAACAGAATTGTGTTAAATATAACTATATATAATATATGATTGAATATTTCACATATTATTGCATTTAATATAAATGTTTTATTGTTTCTTATTTTAAATGCTGTGTATATAAATCAATAAATTCATTTTACCTTTCTATTTCACTTACTTTCTGTTACGTAGTATCTGCCTCTATTGGCACGTAAAAATAGAGATAGTTTCTACCTGCTGCACTTTCTTGAGCTGCAGATTATTTATTTGCTGAACCGAGTGATTTTAATATTTTAAAGAAAAATCAGGCAGAGATCAGAAAGGAGAGTTGATATTGCTTTTATTCTTTAGACCTGCATTTAAAAGGCATAAAGTACACGTTAACGATCACAAAATTGATTTTTTTTGTCGTGAGTTTTTACCCTGATAATTTGGTGCCGCACGAACAAAAAGTTTGGGAACCGCTGCTATAGGAATTTGTAATTAAAGTGGTTACTTGAGACTGAAAAGCGTACGAGTATTGAATATCTATAACGGTAGGCTATCTGACACCAACCTACTCTAGGGTACACTCATCTATGATATGGAATTAACCGTGTATAATTTATTACCCGTTTTAAATATGAATATATTACCCGTTAAAAAATATGAATACTATATCTATATAATGCAGTCTATTCATTGGCTACGACTAGGCATAGTGCGCTACATCATAGTGTGATCCAGTGCACCACAGTTAGGAAACATGGAATATTTCCATCGTTCCAGGTCTCAGGGTAAAGTTCTAAACCACTAGCATCTCTTTGTGATCTGATGAAGGTATACTCATGGCTTGATGTACCCGTTGATTACACTTCATGTCTTTCATACACATACACCATGTGATCGATAAGCGTTGGCTGTTCACATGTGGAAACTGTTGCTCAGGTAACGGTTTAATCTTCTACATGCATCGTAGTGGGTTTCAGTCCCGTGTCACCCTTGTGCATTTGACACCGAACATGTGTTTACGTCTATAGCTACCTCGAAATGCCTCGATGAAGCTGACATCACTATTGACTCATATAACACTGTAAAGTGAATTGATCCGCTTATACACCCAAAAATATATTCGGACATCGGAAAACGCTGACCCAATAGATAAAATTCAGAAATCAAATTTGATTAAAACAAAAAGTAGCTCGTTTATATATGGATGACAATCGAGAAGATCAACTATATAGTTTAGTATCCCTGATTATGTGAGTTTCCATAACATCCAAAAATAAATCCATATTATACGCAGAAAGTTAGTTTAAGGCTTTATAAACCATACAGCGTCTCAATCGCCAACAAACACAGCATATCTTTAACAACTATCTCATATACTTGGACTGGTCTTTCCTATTTGTCGTTGACGATTACGCTAGGCATGGGCGGCTTCTGGCTATGAAGCTAATCACCAATTCTTTTGCATCGACACCACAATTATTATAATTAGAGATGTACTGATACCACTTTTGTCGCCGATGCGTTAATTGATTCAGATGTATTGTGTATTGACGCTGTAGTAATCTCGGTGTTTAATTAGAAAACGCATTGGGTTTGGCTACTTTGAGTGGTAAAATAAATGAATATTTACATATCCTATTAATTAAACTGATACACTGAGTTACGTGCGCAGGATTTTGTGCCAATTTAACGATATGTTTCGTTTTTCACACATTGGAAAATCCATTAATATTCTATTGATATATTTCTTAATAATTATCAGGTAATACTAAAAATGTCATTATAACATTGTAGCAGCAAAAATATCCAAATTAGTTGAGCTGGATTAGCTGATAAATAGCTAAAAACATGTCAGAATCCTATTCCCGTTTTTACTCGCGGGTGTGGGGACGTACATGGTTATAGTTCACGATCTATCCAAAAAACAAAATTTAACATCAGTATTCTAACGTATTTTTTAAAACATTCTGAATCATGTTAAAAATTTAAATATATCGGTCTACATTTGGCTGATACCGATACACCTCCGTTACCGAAAATTTGGCCGATATTGCTGATACCGATACATCTCTAATTATAATCAGCACTCAATCACGACATCGCAAAATTTAAGTACATATGGTGTGTCCTTTTTCCTCTATAATAAAACGAAGTGCCGAATATTTAATACGAATTTGCATTGTTACTGATTAAGTGTCCTTTACAATGAATATATATAATTTGCTGATGCCATTTGCATAAGTTGTTTCAGATCTATCTAGCTAGGAACGAGTTTATAAAAACCTATTTGAGTAATTTGCATATCACAGACATACTGCAGTAGATTGTGATTTCCCAGCTTTCTTTTCCAGTATTGCTTCATTTTGAAATGCGGAAAACCTCATCGAAGAGTTAAACAATTTCAATTTCGGTTGATACTGGAATGTTTTTTACGACGCCACCTATTTTTCAGTTATTGAACGGCGCTCCCTAAACGAGATACTATGAGTACATACAATCAGCGTGTGCATATTTCGTATAAGAATCAAATCCGAAATTTTTCGAATCAACGAAAATGATCGCGATTCGATACATCAGCAACGCGCGATTTCAGTAGCATATTGTAGTACCTGTGTGAGTTGAACAAGGTAACCAACTTAACAATCATAACGTGACTTGCGAGGCGTTAATTGCCCTGATATTGATGCTTCGGAATGAATTCGCTAACAAAGCTGGAATAAATGATTTGGACTAAATTTGAAAAGCTATGCATCTTTAAAGTACAAAATAAAATATACCAAATTGAATTTTTGAACAGTTCTTACCCTGAAAAAGCTTTTATATTTTTAAAAAGATTTATATATATATATATTCGTTTTTTGTGTGAGATGGCGTCATAAAAATCGCGCAACCTTGTGGCGGTTCCGCGTTCGCGATTTGGTGGTCAGGCGACGTCGTGAAGACTGCGGCACCGGTAGCCTATTTTGCTCTGGCTTTCGTGTCCATATATTTGAGCATCGTTCTCTTGTTTTTTTTTTATTTTTTATTTTATTTCGGTTTTTATAAAATAAAACAATATTGCAATAAATAATATTCATCAATAACAGTAATTCATCATAATAAATACATGTTGCAATATTACAATGATTGTATTACAAGAATTCTCCACTTTTTGTTATGTTGAACAATTTTTCCTTTTTTCACTGCTAATTCTTGTTCGTTCACTCGGATCGAGTCAATTAATTTAAAAAAGTGTTTAAACAATGGCTTTCTTTTACCAATTTTACAATCATATAAATAGAATCGCCCTGCAAGTAGAACGCAATTACAAATCTGGTCAAATAAATTTCTACAATAGCCGATTAAACATTCCATCTTGGTGAGGGAGAAATTAATACCACTCTTTGTAAACACCCACTGGTTCAACTGTTCCCAGAATATTGATGAATAATTACATTCAAAAAAAAGATGATTGATGTTCTCAACAGATACATTGCAAAAATCACATAAATTTGAAGGCACTAAATTAATGCCCTATAAAACATTATTCATGACAATTGCCCTGTGAAATAGTTTAATGTGAAAGGACCGAAGTTTTGTCTCAATGGTGCAAAAATAAACATTAGAATAGCATTTATTCCAATTAATATCGGTAGGTGCATTTAAATCAATAGGCCATTTTTTTTCTACTTTTATTGGTGGGATAAACTGTTTTTCGTTCAACTGACGATATATTTCTTTGTTTCTATTTTGCACAATATCACTTATAAAAGAGTCTACATCCAAATTATGAAAAGTCACATTACATATTTTCTAACCAATCATCTGGAATACAACCTATAAGTTTATAGTATTCGGTGTATTCAGATGCACTGTATTCAATGTCATATTTTTTACACAATTCAAAATAGGTAAACAAATCATTGCCATTAACTAAATGTTTAAACAGTTCAACACCTTTATTATACCATGACTGTATAAAAAATGGCCTTCTTCTATAAACAACTTTTTTGTTGTACCACAGTGGATGGTTATGGTAATTAAGTATTTTATCATCAAACAAAGTTTCTTTACAATGATACCAGTTTTTTAAGACATTTTTTAATGTAGAAAACGGAATACTTTTCATAAAATAAGAGTTCCAATTCAAACCTCCTTTTAGCAAGGGTATCAGTGTATCACCTAAATAATCCAATTCAATCTTCTTCCATTGGGGGTTCGGCAATATATATATGACTTTGGAAACAACATAGATCAGTGCTCTTCAACAGGGGTTCCGCAACACATGCAGTGGGGTTCCGTGAGTTTATAGGGTTCCTTAGGGGTTCCGCGTAAAGGAAAAATTGACTGCTGGGCCAGTAAAGTTGCAAAAAAACGATTATTCTTCTTTTTCGCTTTTGGATGAATTTCTAAGTGCGCAACAGCAAGAAGTATAGGGGTTAGTTGCTATAGAAGGACTCTTAGATATCCGTAATGATATTAATTCGGAGGAAACCTTCGAAAAACATGGAAAAAAATATTTTTGGATTTTTCTTCACAGCCATTGCAAAAGAAGCATTAAAACTTCAGTATCAATTTCCCAATACCCATTTGTGTAAATCAGACTTTTCTGCTTTAACAACTATTAAAAACAAAAAAGAAGTTTTTAAAGAGTGTAGACATGAGTATGATAATTGCTTTGAGCGCCGTGGAGCCACGATTCAAGAAGATTGCAAAGGAAAGAACAACCTAGTCATTGAATTTCACGCTTGTTGAAGTAGAAATATTTGAATTACAAATATTTCGTGTTTTATTTTTGTTATTTGGGGTTCCATAAAAAACGAAAAATGATATCAGGGGTTCCGCAATAACAAAAAGGTTGAAGAGCACTGACGTAGATAGACTAAGATTGAAACCTCGAGGAGAAAATGTACTCAGAAATCGATTTTTGCAACTGAAGTAGACATTCCACGAGCTATTCGTCTTTTCGCTATTTTCTTTCCGTGCCAAATTTGATCGGGGTTAATATTTAATTGAATCGCCTATTTCCAAGAAATCCGAAATTTGCATATTTATGATGTAAAAGTGTTCCCGGTTCAAAAATCACTGGCCCAGGGGCGGCATCTCAGCGTCTGATCACGGCGCATATATTATGTATGTTGATTTTTTAATTGTAACTTGTCATGAAGGAACAAACATTACGCGAATGTCTTAGAATTGTATGATACTGGTCAAATGATAGCCAGCGCAATATTCAAAATATATCCGACTGATCTAAGCGACACACTTCTATCACTTTCAAATGTCGACAAGCCAACACGCGCTATGCTTGCGTTCATACGAATGTAGACGCGATTTCGATCCGAGTGAACGCCCGCTCCAGTGGCGCAATCGGTTAGCGCGCCGTACTTATATGACAGCTACGGAGCTATGCGGAGGTTGTGAGTTCGATCCTCACCTGGAGCAAATTTTGCGCTGTGTATAATAGCTCTATAAGGTTGATCTCGAGCCGAAGTTAACGTATTCACGAACACACCAGGTTATTCATTTCTTTTTCTTGACATAGGTAGCTACAGTAGTTGATAAATACCGTACCGGTATCATGCAGTGATGTGAACATCACAACTGATTTTACTATAGTTCAGTACCGGTACTTGTAAGTTAGTTAACGTTAGCTAAATTGCTGCAATTTTACCGCGTTTTGAATTTATGTCTGGTTTGTTCACAGCAAATTTTTGACGTCTATCGTTGTGTCATAAGCAATGGTGTGAATTTCAAACTATTCACGCAGTTAAAATAGATAGGTATGATTAACGACACGAGACTTCGTCTGAGAACATGTGGTTAAACGACACAAAGTTGAAGATCATTGAACGAGGAACAGCAAAGAGAAGGTGCGGTAGCCCAAGGTACGTAGGTATTCAAAGTACAGGATTAAAATCATGTGTACAGGCAATAGCATGTCGAGTTTGTCTCAAAAGCCACAGTACCTGTACAGCTGTAATGGTATACAGGTATATGGTTAATAACGAACCGAGATGAGGTAATGGAGAAAAAATCTACTTAATTTCTTTCCAACATCTCTGAAGGTGAATACGGTACCACTTACAGACTTATTTTGTCTGTATGTTCGCTGTGTATATTCGGTATGTCTGTATGTAATGTTAAGTCTATATTGTATGGTATCCATAAATTCCTCAACTGGAGAAACGGTGTGCTTTATCCTAACATCTTCCTGTTTTCTTAAATTTTGATACCATTTTTTTTCTCTTGTTGAGGGTAACATAATATCCTACCGTGTTTCCCCAAAATAAGACTGGGTCTTATTTTAATTTTCTTCAGAAAAATAACTTTAGGGCTTATTTTGGGGGGATGTCTTATATTTTCATTTATCAAAAACAAAATTGAAAAATATAGAATTACAAAAATTACTGATATCCATTTACTTATAAATAACATTGATTATCAAATATTTGAAATGTGTAGGAGAGATTTCTTGCTATCGAATAGATCGCGAAATTTCGCGTGATTGACTGGGTCTTATTTTCGGGTAAACACGGTATGTGTTCAACTTTTCGCTGGTCCTGGTAATTTGGTTCAACTATTTCGCTAAGTGTATATCACTATCGCAACATACGCATATTTTACTGCATCTGCATTATCTTCTCCCCTGCATTAAACTGTTTCATTTCAAATCTAACACCAATGATGGAGTAACTTTATCATGATATAATGGGAAATTACCACTTTGCATAGTAATATATAGTTTTGAAACATTTTCTCACAGGCATTTTCCCAGAAAAGTTCACATATCAGAAGAGAAGGTAGCCGAAGAACTGGGAAATTTATGCATTGGTATAGATTCAACAGGGCCATCAACATCCACCAGAATACCTGATTTTATGTATGGTAAACCAGGAACAAATCAATTATTTAAAGACATAGAAGAGGGGTACATTCTAATTTTATAAAGTTTTAGCACAGCCATCATCTCTCTGATTACCTTGCACTGCTTAACCATTTGCAGTCTCTAACGTCATGCGTCACTATACTTACTTTCCCATAGGAGTATTCTGAAACACAATGAATAGGAATTTAAGGACTCGCTGAAGGGCTCAAGCCATTATCAATATATGGTATAACTCGAGCCCTGCACCTCACAAAAGGTCAAACTTTGGCTCATAGTGCCTGTCATCAAGTGGAAATCCCACTGATGATGCTGTAACAATCATCTGCCAATCTATCTTGCTATTGTATCATGAAGATAATAACCGCGGTGATGCCCCATATATAGTTCTAATATATATATAAAATTCGCTCTAAATTTAGCTTGGAGATTGATAGTGATGCCAATGATGAAAAGGGCACTATTCAAATTGCACCAGAACTTGCTGCGGAATTAAAAAAATTGAATCGCAAAATATTAACAGTCGGAAGCTACTGGCAATCAGCTAGGTAAGTTGAAAGTTTTAGACATACTGCATTTCCAATGCCACTTATTTGATATTTTTATGGCAGGTTACCAAAGCCATGTCAAGAGCTGGTTTTGTGGAAACCTCCATCAGGTGCAGTGGCAGACATTTTAAATGCAATGAAGGAGACTGAAGAAACTCAAAACACTTCATCTAAGATTGGTTCGAACTCTACAGATGAAATAAAGTACATGGCGACTGATGATCAGAACTGTGCAAATCGCGCAGATGAAGATTTTAATAATACACCCAGTTTGTTATCACACCATTCTTTTTTTACGCCACAAACTAATAAGCAAGAGAATGAATATCATCCAACTGAAAGAGCCGATTTTGTAATGGATTACATGGAATTGTGATATTGCGATACTTGTTATACTAATTCCTAGTCTAAAGCAAATTAGCATGACATGTATTTGAAAGGTTCTCCAGTCCAATGCACTTGTTGGATGGATCAATTAATCTTCACAACGCGCTAAACAAAATAAATTTTCTAAAAAATCTCTTTGACAGATCATCCTGTGCTATCATATCTGCTTGTGTAACAGCTTGTTGTCACTTCCTAACCAACCACGTTCACAATGTAAATTTATTGTTATTAGTAAATTGTTTGCATAATTGCAGTTTGTCAATAGATAGGCTTCTTATTCACCTTTCTGTACAAGGGGTGATGACATCAGTACAAGATTACCTATATTTTGTATTGATGCATGTAAACTTTCATAAAAATTAAGCAATTTTTTTCTTCAATTTACAATATGGCATTCAGTATTGTAGCAAGCAATTATACAAGAAAACCTAATAACATTACAGTAGTGAAAATATCCTAGGCTAATGTGGGTAAGCAGTAGTTTCGCATCACCCTGTCACAAGTGTTGTCATTGAAACTCTGTCAAAAATATCATGGCAGGTTTGTATAACTTTCTATTGTATTTTCGGCAATTCAGTTACATCACAATCTAGTTTGGCACCAAGCAAAAAAAGATGATAGCAACGATGAATACTAAAATAACCAGTAAAAATTTCAATAACCTGCTGTAGGAACTGAGCTTGGGTTGCACGTTGGCGATGATTTCATTGTTCATTTCAAATATTTTAATCTTTTCCTGCACAATCTGTTCTTTCAAGTCAACATCCAGGTCCATTCTATTTATTGCATTTTTTTATATGATTTTTCAGTTCTATTCTAGACCCTTCGGAAAAATGAAAGATCATCAATCCATCATCTGTAGATAATCCCAGAGTTCGTCTTATAATCTTCCGTAATATGTAACCACCAGCCAGAAGGGCTGCAAAAAAATAAGGTCATTGAACATTTGACTGAATTTTCTAGCTATATGACATCAGGAAAGTTATTTTAAATCTATTTATAAATAATTATTTCAGAATTTGTAAAATACTATTAAGAGCAATTGAAATCCCACTCCATGACCATAAAAGCTTTATTTAATTTCTTCTGTAGACTGGAAAAAATGAAAACTAATTGAATCGTTGTGTATCTCGACTGTCCTGCAATGTGTCGTTTATTTATTATGACCCAACTCTGAATATATTCAAAATGTAATGAAAAAACCATCTATCCTGATCACATTCTAGATCCAGGGGCTTGGGTCCCCCTCGCGAGGGGGCCACAATGCTAGGCACAGAGTTAATTACACATTCACAAGGAAACTCCCCATTCTTCCTAGTTCCATTGCGTAATAAGATTATTTCACAGAGTGTTTTCAATTGTTTGAACATAATGGGATTTGGAATCTACTACTAATTATAACACTAGAAATACCACTGGAATGATAAACAGGGGGGCCATGAGCCATAAAGGGTTGGGAATCACTGCCACATAAGCAATTAAAATGTCTGGATTCTCTCCACAAATTTCTTCTAGGTGTGAAACATATTGTTGTGCAGCCGGTGAAGGTTTTGTGATATCTTTCCAACCTAAGCCCAGATAATAGGCCAAATCTTGCTCAATTTTTTTTCTTCTGCATAACTTAGGCAGCCAAAGTGCTGAAATATTGACTGAATGTGCATTCTCTGAAATAAGTTCTTCAATTGTTTTGAAAACGTAATAGAAATCTCCCAAAACTTGGGTATAAATTGTTACATCCGTTAAAGCTACAGCAAGCTTGATCCGAGTAGCTTTATCAGATTTATCATGAATTGATTTTGTCCGTCTATTTAACTCTGCACAGAAATCATTTGAGTCATCCATTATACACTACATTATAAACTTTAATCACAGAAGAAAGGCAGAATATTTCACAAACTATTAATTGTTAAGTCAAGTTCACGACGATAATTTACACATCCTGGGCAGCAATGTAAACTCTCATGAATAAATAAATTGCAGTCTATGCAAAAGCTCTCTTTACATCGATTGCAGGAATGAATAGTGGCAGCACTCGGGTTTTGATTAAAAGGAAGTAAACAAGAAAAGCAAGTAGGGGCAAATTTTTCAGTATCACGATTGTCATAAGTTTGCTCATTATACTCTGGTAAAGGAAAAAGGTGATGATAAGACCTAGCCAAATGTGGGGCAGAAACGAGAGTTAAATTACAAATAACACATTCTACTGGAAGCTCCGAATATTTTGCTTGACATTGAGGACAATAATACCCACCAATAGAAAATTTTTTGGAAGACATGCACATTGAAATCTTTTCTGTTTGGCCAGATGGTATATGCTGAGGGAACCCCATCTTTATTAAAGACGACTCTACTCTAGAGCTAGATGGAGGGGGAGGAATATGATCTCTTAGTAGATCAAGAAAGTGACTCTCATCCAGAACGACGCCATAAACTCCACCAGTGTCTCTTGCTAGTTTTGAGCATATATGAATTTCAGCGGAGAGTCCCACGACACTGCATCGGATGCTTTGCTTTTTCATTCCTTCAATTGTATCGTACATTGAACCAGGATCACATGTTGTCAAACTCCCTAAAATTATCAATACGTCACGACTGGCATGGCTCGGCATTTGTCGCAATGTTCTTTCACACATTTCTAATGAATTTTGAAGAGAGGGCTCTCCAACTAAATTTTTTCCATTGTCTTTTATAATGCCATCTTTCATTTTTCGAATTGCCTCCAAATGTTTGTGTGATGTACCTGACATAGCAGTCACTGATTTGGCCCGTTTATCACTTGAGATTACTATACCCAACTGACCAATGGGATTTTGGTCAAAATACTCCTCAACAAATATTTCGAGCATCTTCAATGAGGCGATTGCACGATTTGGTTTCAAGTCTTGGTCATTCATGGCAGCAGACATGTCTAACACAATATATAGATGTCTCATCATTCCAAGACGCACATTCACTTTTCTTGTTGCTAAGCGCTTCCTCTTAGCTTTGTTTATTTCTTCCTCAATACTTGCTTGTAGAGAACCGCTTTCATCTTCTTTTAGAGCTTCCCAAGTTTTTTCATAATCTCCTTCCCATCGATATGTTGGATCCACTTCATTTTCCATACTGCTGTACTGGTACTTAGATCAAAAACCTACTCAATATACCTAAATCTGTAAATAGAGAAAGACAAGCTGAAATTTAATTGATAAATAGGTAGGCAGGACAGTCCCGCTTTTTAGCGTCTTGTCCCGCCGTCCCGACAAGTCAGTCAAAAGTCCCGCTCTGGCCTTCAGCCATCCCGCATAATACACGAACATGTTCTCGTTACTGTTGTTGCTGTGTAGCGCAACGTTGCCTAGGCTACTTACTGAAGATGAATGCGTTATTTTTTTTGTTTCGTTGTTTCCTGCTAACATTGTTAGCGAACGTATCACATGTAAAATCAATTCTAATTGGTCCTGTTCAGACGTTCACGTGAATGTAACATTGAACAACGTCATTTTGAAGGTGTTATCTATAGAAAAGCATGCTTGGGCGAATAGGTGAATTCTCAATGCTTGAAAACGGCAGACTATTTCATTATTCTTCATTTCTTTTGCTGTACATAAAAATTCGGATCATTTGTATCGTTAGCGTCTATTCCTTTTTATTTTTCGAACTGAACTCGATATTTAGACAGAGAATATGCGCATGAACTCTCAATGACAATATCAGAATATGGTCAATGAAGACAGCCGGGATGGCTTTGAATGTAGGCCTATGTTGTAAAATCAGAAACTGTAAAGTTATAGGATCACAGCTAAGGCATAAGGGCTCGTGTCTTTGGAGGCAGCCCGCTTTTAAGTCAAAAAAATATGGTACCGTTAACCCTATAAATAGGTAATGTATGACAACCATTGCCTAGTATTGATCTATTTTTTGTTAATAGCCTACAGCCAACATCTGAACATGCTTGTGCTTCGATAGTACAGCCGTGTACTTACACTCTATTCCAGTATTCAGTGCAGCAGTGTTTTACATCAGTAGTTGAAGCCGTAATTGAAGAAAATACAATTAGCATCTTTCAGTCTTTGGCTCACATCAAAGCTAGGTCCAACGTGCAAGCAGCCCCTGATACTGTGATATCTAAAGATGATATATTGCCACTTCTTTTGGCAAACCTTCAAACTTAAATTCTGCACGCTTTTACTTAAAGTAATGTCTTTATTGACTTGTATTCATCAACTATTTCACCGTCTGTTATGCCGATTAGTGAATATGGAGTCGAAATAGACTTATACGGTAGGCTACCGGTACCTGTTGTACCGTATAACGGTACTGAATATTGAGACTACGGTACCTACTTCGCTGACCGCTGCCAAAGTTATTCAAGCTATCCAAGCGCGCAGTTTCATATATCTCAGTCCGTTCGTTTAGAGTGCAAGTTCAAAAATTGTCTGCTATGTATAAATGGGGATTTTCCAAATGTGATACCGCAAATAGAAATTTTGCATAACCCCTCATGTCGCAATCGACTCCCGCTGGATAAGTGTGCATGTGTGTGATAGGAGTCGTTTGGTAGGCAGGTCGCGACTCGCGATCGTCTATTCATCATCCCGTGAAAAATGATTCGAGAGCATTCATATGTTGGTATTGAATGGCTAATCAGCAAGATGCAAAGAGTGACGTAACAATGACGATTTAGCAGCCACTCAGACACTTTTGTCACTCACATAGATTTTCAGGCATTGATGTAAACATCACCTCATTTGGGCATTTTGCATGCTATTTGTTAGATTTTAGATGTTGTTTCGGAAATTTGAGTATGAATCAAATAACTCAATGATCATTACTAATCGATCTCGATCGGTAGGTATTTTGATAGGTATTTGTCTGTTTGTTTGTTTCACTTTCGTATGTTACGCGATATCTCACGAAAGCGAGGTTGAATCTGCTCCAAATTTTGCATGTGCATCCATCATATTTCGGACCAGAAGCCTATTGATTTTGGATGAATGTCGTATAATTAGCGAGTTATTAATTAATTAGTGATGGGAAATGCGGTGTCGATATTGAGTCCGAGCGAAGGAATCAAAACCGCAGATCGATAGGTCGGCGGTTTCTGATCGCTATCTAGTTTTGTCTTCCTGGAAGCTTTATTTTGTCTCGGCGGTGCGGCGCATTGTGCTAGGCGTTAGAAATACGCTCGCCTCCTCACCTCTGATTACCATGCGTTGCTCCGCACGTTCGAATCCATCGTTCTGTTTGTAAGAGAAACAACATTATTTCGTACTTCCGAAGTAAGTTCGAATATTGAATTACGGGTAGTTATGGGTGAAACATCTTATTATGATTTGCGTCTGCACTTTGTATATATTAAGTTTTCCATTTGCGATGTCTAACATCATACAACAAATATTTAGCTTCATTTTCTCCAATGTCTATAGTCTATACCAGTGATTCCCAAAGTGGGCGATATCGCCCCCCAGTGGGCGAAAACGATACAGAGGGGGGCAAAAAGGTCTAAGGGGGCGATAGGGGGGCGATTTCGCGAAAGCTGTTTTATGTTCGGCGCACTTAATTCTGTACTGCATTCGCAGGCTTGAATCATGTGGGCGATATTCACACGCGAAAGGATTGCTGGTCTCGTCTTTGCAGTAAGGTAAGGTAGTTTGCGTATCCCAGTGGTCGGCAAAATACTGCCGAAGTAAAATAATCTGGCCCGGGACGATTCACTGAATGGACCTTTCCCCGACCTTTGACCGCGGAAAATTCATTCCGTACTTTACCATTTTAAAATTTTCGGTGCTTATTTTAAGAGTGGTTTCGCGAGCTGTGGCCTGTAAAATGGGGTATTTGATTCAAACTATCATTCTAATACACACCATTTAACAATCTGTTTTTTAAAAGTACCGATAAAGAATTTTAGCCTAGTCTATCACAGCTATTTCTACACTAATTTTTGATTGCTGTATTCAAACTGAAACTCATAGAAAGACAAAGTAATCATTGACTTATTTGATTCATATTTAAATTTCCGAAAAACAACTAAATACTAACGAATATAATTCAAAAACGCGAAAATGAGGTAGTGCTCACGACCACCCCTGAAAATCTGTCCGAGTGAGAGTGTCTGAGCGCCTGCGAAAGGGGGCATTGTTACGTTTTTTGCATCTTGCTGATTGGCCAATGTCACGAAGTAAACAAGGAAGTCTATGCCCGGGGAAATATCCAAACGGCGGTTTTGACGATGAAAATTTTTTATTTATAATCTACGCTCGAGGAGTAAATTACATTTTTTTACGTAACAGAATTTATCGTGAGACACGTTTAGAGTAAATTATACTATATCCTAACAATTTAGTGAACAGCCACTCGTTTAACGATCCTACAATTTAATTATAATTAGACAAATGGAAACACGCAGAAAAGTTGATGCTGAGTGCAGGGGTTCAATAGCGCAGTAAATATTCGAATATATTGCAAAGCAATAAGGAAATAAAATTCATATTCATATTCGGGAGATTCATCACTGCTTGATTTTTGTAAGAATGTATCTTCTTAAAAAAAATATGTATTTATCAAAATTTCACAAATCGTGCGAAAATATTCACTTCGATGTCTGGAAGTACATATTTGTGCAAACCATTATTTTCGAAAATGAACATTACAAAGAACAAGCAAAGAAGTGGGTTTGGTGATGCCCATTTAGAAAATGTTTCAATCTTGGCGTCGTAAAGCTATCCAGCGCGATGCAGCAACAAGACAGTGTCACATTAAATGTCATTGTAATATTTTTTTAATAAGACGACTGAGTTGAGTTCACGATTGTCGCAGTTTTCGCGTGAGTTCCGTTTTTAACTCTCAAAAAATATATGCGACCCGCAAAAGACTAGCAACCCTGAATTTTGTCCTGCGAACGACATAAAATTTGCCGATCCCTGGGCCGTAGCCGATAGTCAGTCACGGTTTCTTCCACATCCGAGTCCATGAATCCAAAAAATGGCTGGTTAATTATGGACTGGAGGCCGTGATAGGATGAGGAAGTGAAGTGGGAAGTGAATTTAGGAAGTGAAATGCTATAAGGCAAGAGTACACGGCGGTTTTTGAGGAGGTAGGACCCTGGATTCTTTCATTTCCGACCTATTATAATATTATGGTGAAAAAGGGGTTTTCAGCCGTGCTACTATTGCTATTAGAACAATGAAATCACCTTTCCATCAGTAAATGGGGTAATTTTAGATATAATAAAAAACTCGCTGAAGAACACCAAGCTCATCTATCTCATTAAAAAACACTATAAACTATGATTTGTCTTCCTATTTGGTCTGTAATAAATTTGTTTCTGACTTTATATTTTTTTGTAGTGCAGGGGGGCGATGAAGTTGTATAAACTACTTTAGGGGGGCGATGGTCAAAAAAGTTTGGGAACCACTGGTCTATACTACGGTACCTCTTTCGGTTAGCGTGCCAAAATCGGCTAAATTTACTGGCAAAATTCTTACGCGTGCTGACCAAAATTGTCGAGAGCTCACTCAGTTGTTACTGACCGCCGTCGGGTGCGCCGCCGACGTGGTACCAGTATTAGATTATAGAGTACTGGAATAAGAGATGCTTTTTTGGACTAAAACTTATAATATGAATTATAAAAACTGATAGGGGGCTGAACAATAATGAAAAATCTCTCACAACTATTCAGATTCTGGAACATGATATTTTGTATAGTAGAGATCATTTAAACTTTGTATTATTCCAAGTGTATATAATTAGTGGTGTCACCTAACATTGTACTTCTGTCATTCAAATTGAAATTCATTATTACAAATTGTATGTCTATTATATTATATTTTCGTATTTGATCGAACGGATCCTAGGTATATTAAATATATATATTATGTATAGTATATTGCAGCTTATACTCTTCTTTTGAGCATACATGTCTTGAGTACTTCCTGTATATATTATACAACTCGTTCGGGCCTACTGTGGTTCTAGGCATCATTGAATAATTTCCTCCTGGTCTCATAATCCATCATTATAGTTGTGGAGTAGCCTACTACCAACTCAATAGTACATCCTGTTAAAATGTGAAAAATTTTCGCATCTGTAGACAGTGGCTTGTTAAATCATAGTGTCCATTAAAATCAACTATTCACTCAATCATAAAACAAAATTATATTTCAATCATTTAACATTAAAATAAATCCTCGAA